TTGATCGTTTTTCTCAACTGGTCTCGTTTGTGGCCTATGAAATCGTTATGACAGATTTATAATAACAAAGAGTGTTTGAAATATTTCATGGTTGAAAAATCGGTAAGGGAACCCAGACAACACACCAAATCCCAGAGATATCCACAGAATATCTTTTGTGGATATCCAATATATCCACAGGATATCAGAAATATTCCGTGGATCTAATATGGATATCCAAATGTCCGTCTATATCCAGAATATAGAAGATATCCTATGGATATTCAGCAAAATATCTAATGAGTATCTTCCAAACAATACAAGAAATCCCAGAGATATCCACAGAATATATTTTGTGGATATCCAATATGTCCAAATGTCCGTCTATATCCCAGGATATAGAATTCAGATATTCAGCAAAATATTTTATAGGTATCTTTAGTAGAGGTTCATAAGTAACCAATGATTATTGAATAACGTCAAAAGAAAATAGAGATAAAAAATATTTCCAACAATCTGCCTTTGATTTTGCCCTTTAAGAACACTAAGGAGAAAGTCATCCTTATTAGGACTCTTCAGCAATAAATGGAAATTCTCGACTCCAGTCTCTAATGGAGTCTGATTGTGAAAAAAATTTCGATCGAACTCAATTACGGCGGGTTGAGCATGAGTAGATACGAAAGTGGTATCGCCATCTATACTTAGGAAGCAAAATCAAAAATTACATCTAGTGGATATCCACGATGGTTTGCGTCCGAGCTTAGACTTTGATATATTTAGTGGATGTCCATGGGATATTGAATACACCTTAAAAAAATTAATTTTAAATATCTGAACAGTACTATTAGCCACAATGGCGTAATTTTTTAATAATTTGCTATATAATTACTATTATTTATGGACATTTGCATGTCTATAAATTACATTTCACGGATATAAAATAGATATCCACCATAGACTGGACATTCAGTGGATATTGGGATGTTCAGTAGATATCCAAAGGATTTGGTATGCTGTCTGGGAAGTTACCAAATGCTTCAACAGATTTTCAAGAGGATGCTATGAGCCGCAGATAAGTTTTCAATTAGTTTTGTCTCTTTAAACATGATGAGATGAGTGTTGAAGATCCCGCATTTAAAAAAATCACCAAAAATTTAACGAGGATCGTCTATTAATAATGTCTTTATTAACAAACAGCAATACATAAAAACAACAATGCAATTAAGGTGAATACTGATACTTAAAAGACGCAAGATCAGCATAGCTGTTCTTCCTCAAGGACCTTTTTATTTAAATAAATTTCCCAGTGAACTTCAGTCAAGATCAAACCGAAAATATTGAACATTTCTAATTCCTTCGGAGCCCTTATTTTTAGTTCGATTTTTGTAAATTTTCAGGAAATACCAATAAAGGGTGGAGAAACCTTGATTTTTTGTAAACTATCGAAAAGTGTTTTTAAAAGAAATAAAAAAAAACATTTACGCGCCATGAGGTATTTTTAAAAGGTTTTCTGACTAATATTGCTATTGTGGATATCAGATCTAGCTGGTGTAAAAGATATGGTGGAGATCATTTCAAAATAATTATACGTACTCGTAAAAGTGAAATTAATAGATAACCAATGATTACGCAGTATCATATCCCAAAAATTCATGTAATAGTCACAATGACATGTGACAGGGCATCACAAAATTCGTTTTTCAATATTAGACTTAAGGCATGTTGATTAGGATAAAGATATTTGAGATTTCCATTCGATTTTCGTACGATAAAATTGACATGGACTGAGTACCACAAGTTAGATTTTTAGTTGGAGCTCATGAGCCAGTGGATTTCGACTAAGGATTTGAAAATCTATTGAAGCTATTAGTTAACTTTCGATGCAGATTTTTATACAGGAAACAAAATTACAAACACACTCTTAGTTTTCTTTAAATCTGTCGACGATTTCGCAGGCGGAAAACGACAACACAGTTGAGAACAACAACACTACAAACAAACGTTAACCTCATATGATGATATCGCTTAGGCAACTCGTAAAAAAATAAAAGGCAACTGATTTCGTAAGTGTCTACTAGCTGCACCTAGCTGTAGAACTCCGTACTTCGCCATGGAATGTCGCGCACTTTTAATCCAGTTTTTTTGGTTCCCCCTCGTAATTTGTGTACCTACTGGATATTTTACTCGTATTCAACAACTGTGGCAAACTTAAATTTTTTTATAAAATTCGATAGTCATATAAATAAAAACATTAATATTGAAAATGATCAAAACTGTATTACAACATTTCCTATAAAAAAGTATGATTATTTTATTTTTGTCCCGCCAAATTTGGTTTTTATACACTCCAAATATAGTTTTTATGCAAATGTCATGAGATTTGAATTATTCAACGTTTAATTTTTTTATTCTTAGCCAGCACATTTTCACATTTTGTAAATTTTTCATCACTCTAGATATAGATTTATTATTTCAGATACCAAATTTACTATCAACTGAATCCTCTTAAATTGAAACATTTAATTATTTGATGGAATTTATGTGGAATCATATAAACTGCATGTTTTCATATTTCAAATTCGTCTTGACTGATGCTACAACAAAACTAATAAGACAAGGGCCCATTGGCTATAGCAATAGCCCTCAGAAAGTATTGATACTACTATAGTAAATACACTTTCAGTGTTTATTATAAGGTATAATAAACAACATATAAAACATTAACAGTGTTTTACCTACAACTGTAATGAGACCTATATATTCTGTCATTGTGAACCCCCAATATTTTGGTGAGAAGCCGCCACTGTAGCTAATATTAAAAAGTACTATCGATTGTCTATTGGGTGTGTTAACAGGTCATCCACGTATTAGATAATAATGATAATGAAAACAGAAACATTATCTACCCATTGAAACTTGATATTTTTGCATCACTATTAATTTAAAAGAAACTGCTTTTAAATATCTGGAGATAGTTTGACTAATCAAATGTGATCTTAGAGATAGCTGTAAACAGCATTTAAAATTGTTACACTCAGACACTCAGTCCCCCACAGAAAGCATAATTCCGATTGACTGGCACTACACTATTATGAAAAGTGTGCTTTGCAGTGTCAGATAATTGTGATGTGATTTTTTGTCAGTGAATTATTTTTACTGTGAGATTATAATCTATTATTAATATTACTATTATTATTATTTCACGCCATGCATCTTATTCCACAGCAATATTTTATTGAGGTATATTTGGCCTTATCGCCATAATTTGGTCCAAATAACCTGCCCTTAGCCTATATCCCAATAGTTTTGAATCACCCTGTATATAACTGACTGAAAATTTTATTTTTTGTCCCAACAACTAGATTTTTAGTGCCTTTAATACTGATAAACTAAGAACAGAATAAGTGGATAGAAAAAAAATGATATGGAACTTAACTTACTTTTCCTCTATTACAGAAAAATAAAACATCCGTTATTTAATTATCAAGTTAAAAATCTTAAGAGCGTTATAGTTTCTGAATTTGGTTAGAGAGATGATAGCGCTGCGCTGTCGGCTGAAGGTGAAATCAATTGTTTGATATGATTTGTGGCGACAACCCATCGTCATTCTCATTCACAACGGTCGATGTCTGATTTCATGTTTTCTTTTAAACCGATCTGAAGGGCCGTTGACGGCCATAACGTTTATAATATGTTATATTCCGAGAGTTGCATGAACAATATCAAACTACAAATGTTTTTTAACAAAACGTAAAACACTAAACTAGATTAGGTTGATAATTAATGGGGTGATCCCATTGCCTTCCACTGCAACCCAGATGGATCTACTGTGGCTCATGTCTAACTTATAGCCATACCTTTTGATGAAAGCCATGGTTAAATTGGATGAGACTTATTTAAAGTCGGTAGGCCCCAGTTGGGTGAATCCGAAGATCTGGAAGCTAGTTCTTTCTAAAGCGGAGCAGATACATAAATATGCTCTGTGGATTCGTCTTCCACGGTGCAGAATTCACAGTATGATGTTTATTGCGACCTATCCTTCTCATGTGGCTACCAAGTCCTGTCATCAGTTCCATGAGAATGAGTAGATCCTTCCTACTACATTCACGAATCTGGGGAAAGACATTCACATTCAAAACATTTAATTCATGAGTGTTGCACCCTCTGTCCGTTTTGGGATAATTCCTTTGGCAGTGCTCTTAGCAACGACCAGATATGGTTCTGGTCGTATGAAGTCAGACCTGACCTAAAATATGTTCAATAAAACCAAGAAAATAAGAAAAATACAGTAAACAATAAATAAAATCAACTAATGCCTCTATCAAAAAGAACTGGGCAGTTTTAAATACACTTTACTCTGTTCTGTCCTATGCTACACACTATACACTAACCAACACATATTCCAATATTACCACTAACCTTCCAGTCTTATCTGTAGTGCTACCAGATGTAGTGCCACTTTAAAAACACAGTTATCATGGCGACCAGCATTAAGAGAATCAACATTTTTAAGATGCTGTATCTAAGGTTCCTGAGATCTATGCTGCTTCTACAAATATTTTAAAATCAACACCATGATTAAAAAAAAGTTCGTTGGTAGAAAATTGGTTTCTGAATTTTAAATCAGCTGAAAAACATTGTTAGAAATAATTTACACTGTTGCAAGATCAAATTTTAGATCCTGCTTTTTTGTTTTTAGTAAATAGTAAATAGCATTCGCATGTGTAGGAAAGTAAAGAATATGGTATCGATGTTGATATTATGTCGTTTATTTTCCTGCATGTGTTAGTCACTATTCATTCCAAAACAAACCAAAGCAGTACTATAGGTTTAATCTAGTGAGCACTGAATGTACTTCCAAATATTAGCAACTATAAGTTTCTTAGCACCACATTTTATAAAACAAATATATAACAAAATAAAATGCCCAAAAAATTCAATAACGCAAAACCAAAAATTTCTTACATAACCCTCTCTCGACCCTTACAAATCCATTAACACTTTGTCTTTCTTTTCGATAGATGGAGCAGGAGAAGCCGGCACGGATCCAATGGTCCGCGTAACCACGTTGTTGACTACAGAACTGGCTACATACGATCGCATTTGCGTTCACCGTCCGGGAGAGTACGGTGACCTAGTCATTCGTCGGATATTTTTCAATATGGCGACACATTCGTGTCACCTTTTTGAAACCAAATTGGTTATTATACCGTAGAAGAAACTCAAAATAATTAGATTTGAATTATATAAATGTACTCCAAGGGAATACACATTGAAGGGCTAGCTGTTCTAGAAAAATCAAACTAATGCAGTGACAAAAACCATAAAACTGCCATCCTATTTTCAAAGTGCATCACATCTGTTCATTCCATGTGTACTAAATTCTATCAAAGCTTATTAAACTAATATTACAATAGCTATTGGAATGATAAAGACCTTACCTTAGGTATTTCTCATCCTTCAATGATACATAAAGGTATATTAAATCATAATTGAGACCTTTGACAACGTTATAATAACTGAAAGACCAATTGCTTTCTTGAAAATTTGTTTCCTTTATACTCGTAAAAAGGGCCTATGTCATGCTTTCTTTTCATTGGCTCTTTGGCTAGAGATGGGTGTTTTGAATGTGAATTTTATGAATCGATTGGACGTATATAACCAATTTTATATAAATGATTGCTGATGATTTAATTATTTTAATTTTTGCATGAGTTTACGTGAGTGTTTGAATATAATTCGAAGAGCTACTGTTTGTATTGAATACAGAAAGAATGTGGTGTATCATGAATGAGCTAATGTATCAAGGAAACCTTCTAGGTGGCACATCTCGTACGACTTCAGCCATATTTATCCGCCACTCATATGTATTAAGAAAGAGAAGTGCAAAGATACCTTTCAAGTACATAGTAAGCTAAATGTACCTCCCATTTTTTGATTCGTGGAAAATATTATTTTCTCTTTGAGCTAATGAACTAATGGAAAGACACGTTAACTTAACTAATCAGCATGTAGTTGCTTTAACAATTTTACATACCCGTGTGTAGCTTGAGTATGGCCACAAATATATGGTATGACTTTATCACGAAATACTCCTTGTTAGGTATGCAATAATCAGTTGTCATTTAGGCCAAGAAACACTTTTGCTTAGTCAACATTGGCTCCAAATACATGTACCATTTGCATCTTTTGTTTGAGGAAGCTGGTAAAACCATTAAGTTGTACAATTGTTAATCTACGTTGTCAATATGATTTTTTATTGTTGTTTCTTCAGATTCCAGTAAAACATTGTCATCAGCAAACGTGAGTACTGTTCGATAAAGTGTGGTTCGTTCATTATCATTTTAAACCAGTAAAAACCTGTTTGTCAACTAGGATTTTAGGATTAAATTATTGGTCATGTGAAAGTTTTTTTTAAATTGATGAAAGATCTTAGCAGAGATATCAAGAAACGCAACTATACTTATTTAAACCTAAAATTTGACGATTTATTACAGTGTTTTACACTAGCACCAACATTAACGCCCCACTGCATGAGTTCAAATTACTTCCTCCTTTTGAGCCTTTTATTGAGTGTAGAGTTCTCCAGCAATTGCTGCGCTTGTGCATTGACGTGGAAGTGGGCAGCAGACCTCTTTTTTCTTCTTCGATTGTTGGAATCTTTAGGTCTCTCTCAGTGAATCAGTGATTCATCTTAGGACTTCATTTTGAAACATTTGTATCATGATATTGATCTTGCTGACACATCCTCTATCTTTACGCGATAAATCCAGACTGGTTTTGTTTATAAATCAACAGTTTATTGTTCACTGATAGCTTGGATTCTCTTTCTAGGAGTTAATACATTTTTGTTTGAATAAGATTAGATTCTTTGGGCTTTTTTATATGCTTTTTCCTTTTAATTCGTACAGGTTCAACCGTTGGTATTTGTTTTTGTTCATTTTACCAAAGAGTAAATCAACATGTACTCATTTAGTTTGATTTATTTTTATTTTCCATTTTTTTGTCCATCGATTGATTCTACTGCAGGTTTCCTAGAGTGTTATTTACAAATGTTGCTATTTTAAACATTGGTATTGAGGGATATCGCTGGTGTATAATAAGTGAATAATCTAATGAATCTTTGATATTCGGATGGTTATATCGAAATACAAACTAGAGATTATACTTTAAATTTTTGTTTTCATACCAAAATCAAATATTTATGATTCCATCTTCAAAAGTTGATTAGTGAGTTTATTCAATAAACTTAACATCTCAGGTGTACATCCGACATAATATTTGGACAAAAGAATGCTGATTTTCCATTTTATACTTTTTGTGTAGTTAATTTCAAGAAGAATGAAATTGGAGTTTTGCATGCGGGCAGCGAATGTGTTAAACAATAGTCACACATTCGTTTAAAATTATTTTTTAGCTGCACAAAAATTGTGAAGGATGTTGCTAGGAATTTCGCTGAATAGAACTTGGCTCCTTCAAAAGGCTTGATCTGGCACTTACCGAATGGTATTATTATAAATTGAATATTTATTTGATTTTCAATTAAGTATATGGAATGAAATTACTACGCTTTTTTAAACTTTGAAAGTAGGTCCAATTCTTGAACGGATTTATATCGTTCACGAATTATTAATGCATTTTTTTTTCTGAGAACATTATTTTGCGGGTATATGTAGTATCTAAAAGAAAAAACATCTGCTAGCCCTATTACTTATAAATTCAGTAGAATATGTTTATTCCAATTAGAATGGAGTTCCTGGAAAACAAAGAATTAGTGAAATGTTAACAATTTAATTAAAAAAAATTGCGGCTCAAAATCCTTTCTCATATCATCGTAACTTTACACCTATATCATCGTAAGATATCTTTGTATAGTAAATTTATAATATCATCTAAACAAAAAAATATATACGTACCTATTTGAATCATATTGAATCTCAGTGGTGCCGCATATTGTGTAATACAACCAAGAGACAATATCAATGTTATTTAAAAATGGAATTAAATTAACAAAACTATTTAGTACCTTAAATAAATATATATAAAAATATTCCTATTGTTGTTTTATTTTAAATGTACCTACTCCTTAATTATTTCCAGATATACAGTACTTATTATTTTGTATTAGGCATAGCTGTGCCTTCACAGCGAACATGTGGCAACTACGATATCTCCGCTACCGGTATACTCTCTAGCTTTGTGCCTCACATTCGGTTCGGCTAATATCCCACCACCATATCTTTTTTTAATTCTAGTAGACGACTGGCTGTTGCCATTTTATTAACTTGTATACTAGTCGTATGCCTATAACACGTATTTGTAACACCGAATAATTGAAATTTCTAGAAGATTTATAGGTAGCAGTTCAACTATACTTGCTTGAAGGAATTTTTAAATAATATAAACTAACATAAGGGTGGATGGAATATATAGGTAATGGTAAGTTATAGGTAATCAGGGTCGTTATATTCTCGATTCGGTGAACAACGTTCATATTTCATGGTTCAACTCATGTTCAACTGAAATTCAGTAGGATTTATTATAGAACCTCGCCCACTATTTATGTGAGAACGGTAAGCGTTCGACTCAAGAATTCGCTCCGTGCGAAGTCATGGAAAGGGAAGCAAAAGCGATACTAGCGCTAGCTGCGGATAATTCGTGCATTTTAGGGGGATATTTTGTAATTTTGGCATATCAAATACACGTATACATTTTACTTTTTTCAAAAAAGTAGGTAAAAACAACACAATAAGCAACCGGAGTTGCTGTGTTGAAAATTGTACAAATACTAGCAAAAAAAACAGTGAAACTTATATAACAAATTTCACTAACAAAGTGGAAATTAAATCAAAGAAATAAATGGATAGGTGTACAATAAGAAGAAAAATTACCTTTATTTTTGTGATAATAACAGTAATGCTGGAAATAGTAGACATCAGAAACTAGAAAGTTTTTAAATAAACAATAAATTATCATTTTACGATGTTCTTTAATATCCCTTTATTCTTAAATGTTCATTCAGCAAGGACTAGATTTCAAGATTTCTGCCGTTGATTATAATATTTGGCTGGTATGCAATTTTGTGACTTACTGATCGAAAACCAGTTTTAATCATTCATTCTATGTTTTCTTTAGAACAAAAATGAAAATATAAGTAGCGATCCTTTTTATACACGCTATTATAAATGGTTTCTTCAATGACAACTTATTAGACTTAGGCAACTTCTCATACATTTTCCAGTAAATACTGTTGCCTGCCTATATTTTATTATTGATTTTTAATGATTATACATAATTTTCTTCAATTTAAGCGTGAAAAATATATAATAATAATAAATTAATGTTTTAATTGTTTTATAAATCCATATACTTTTATTAAAACTAACATATATACTTTTTATTTACGAATTCTATTAAAAATTGTATTTGTCAGTATAGGCAGAAATACTCCTTTAATACCAAAACAAATTGGCGCTGCTGTCGCGCACGGAGCGAATACGTTCACTTTCTGAAACAGCTCCTGTTTGTGTGTGATTTATGATGTGCTGAACACAACCCACTATGCATAAAAACGTTAAATTAATGAGAACTTGTACACATTACTGTGCTGACCTGTATGCAATATTATTGTCATTTATAAAAATTAACATCGTATAAATGTTTGTCAAAAAGTACAAAAGATGTTTATGTAACTGCTAATTCAAGTATTGCAGCGTACATAAAACTTCATTTGTAAATATATGCCAGGAATGTTAATGAATATGATGTTAAACTTTAAACATCTATGGGATATTTTAGTATGGTTTTAAAAATATATCAAGAAAAGTTTCTATGAGAAACGTTACAAAAAAGACTAATGTTTCATGTTTAGTGGGAAAGTAGGTAGGTATTATGTGGAAAACATTAATATTGTAGAACCAGAACAGTTGTATAATCATCAACAACCATTTTTTTGCTTAGCTCGTCTATCTAAAGTCTCCTATAGTATTTTAGCTTAATAGTGTAAACTTCACAAATAATTAAATGTTTATTTTACGTATGAAGTTTATTAATATTAAAATAATGTTACAAAAAATAATTATTAAAACAAATGGAAAAACACACTGTTAACAAAAGAAATCGACTGCATTCCT